TTCGCCTGGTTTCGTCTTTCGCCGGGTTTAGTTTCGTCTTTCGCCATTTGCACAAAATGGTTTCGCCTAACAACATTAAGTACGCCTCCTTGATCCTAAAATTGAAGGTTATTAATTAAGTGATTCCACAAATTTTTTTTATAGTGCTGTATTTTTTCTAAGAATTCTTACCTTCATCAGATTTTAAATATCGCACAAATGTTTTTTTCATTCTTTACAGTGCCAATACTGCTTTCAACAAGGTTATGAAATCAAGATGCTATTAACTTTAATCGGCTTTAAAGACCATTCATTCAGCAAGTTTAAATGTCAAATATCACTCTTTTCATCCTTTACCATATTTATTCCATATTAGTATAATGTCTTCGTTTTTAGTAGTACCAATGCTATATTTATAGCAATACAAAGTTATATTGTTTATTGGAGATTTCTGTTTTAATAGTTTAATGTATTCTAATCGTCTTTTTTTTTTTTTCTTTTTTTTCTTTTTTTTTTTTTTTTTTTGCTGATTTAAAATTTAAAGTTTTGAGTATCTTCTTTTCAAGTTCTAAAAATTTATTATTTATTCTATCCAATTTAGCCAACAAATTTTTGACATTGAACTTGTATCATCTTCTGTTTGTCATGATGCTTTTTCAAAGATGAATTGATCAATTTCATTAATTCTTCTAGCATTGTAATTTATCCGTCTTCACTATTTACATTGTTTAATTTTTTAATTTAATAAATATAGAAGTTATATGCAGAGTTAAAATAAATAAATTATAATTGAAATTTAGATGTAGAATACCCATACCAATTAAATGGGCGAAGAAAGACATAGTAATTGTTAATCCAAATCGACTTGCTTAGTATTTTTTTTTTAAAAAAAAACGAAATACAAGCTATTTATATGAAAATAAGTATGCCCTGTAACTCCAACACTAAATTTAATTAGATAGCGATAAGTATAGTCCGTGCGTACAGGTATATACACAGGTTTTTACCGGTACTGCAAAGTACCGGTACTAGAGTTGCTGGCGAATCTAAATTAAGCTAGTAAAATAGATGAACAATAATAACCAATCAAATTTTAGATAGTCACGTTTCACCAGCTTAATTTATACGTATCCTTACATTAGACCCCCCTGATAGTAGACCCCCATCCTTTACAAGACCCCGGGGGGTCTAAATCACTTTTTAGATAGGTTTAAAGTAAGAGACTCCGGGTGGTCTATATGGCGAAATACGGTAGATGCACTCGGGGCTATCGGGGGTGATGTTAAACGAAGATCCAACTTCGAACGGCCTAAGTAAATAAAAAAGCACGGTTGATACATAAGACCCGTACAATAAAAATTGGCACATATACAGTATATGTATGTACGTGTAACAGTTATACGTACATACGTACGTACGTACCAATTTTTATTGAATCTATTATGCCGAAATAATAACTTAACGGCAGAAAAATCATTCGGCTAATTTTTTGCAGGTATCCCAGGAATTATGAAAACAGCTGTAGACTATTATTTTATTTAAAAATCAATTTGATCCAAACCAATCCGAATAAAAACCATCAAAACGTATATATATTTGTTTTCGCAAAGCTAATGAAAATTTGAAAAAATCGAAAACTCGGAGATTATTTAAATAGCACGTATAAAATCATACTATATATACGTATTTGATGTCACACAGTTTTATATACGCAGTTTAGATGCAAGTAAAACAAAAATTAAATATTAAATATTTTGGACGATTTTGACGTACTCGATAAAGTTACAGTTTAATATTTAACATTAATTTACTAAATAAGGTTACGATTTAATTAATAATTAACGTTAATGTATACTATTACGTAGCATTAAGCATGTGAGATCAAAGACAGTGAAGTAAAGAATGCTGGATAAATTTGTAAATAAATGAATGAATGAAATTTATGTTGTACAATAGCCTAATTAAATGACTAGCCTATTTAATTATCAAATATACGAAATACAGTTATAGCGATAGGTCATCTGCATCTGGCACGTACAAATCATATTGGGTAGTTTGGTATCCTGCATCTAAATTATGCAAGTAAATATAAGAATTCTGAAAATCATTGCCACATAAATACATCAATAACAAAAAAAAAGCTTACATGAGTGAGGGATCGTCCGAAGAGGGATTGTTGGAAGAAGGCGACTGGCCAAAGGGCATGTATCAAGGTTTAATAATGGTACTGCTGGAAATGGATTTTCTCGTCTTTTCAAATCACTTTGTTTAAATTGATTCCTTATGTCATCACAATTACCATCATCATCATCGATTGATTGGTTTTTGGAAAGTATTTGAACCCATTTTTCTAAAGTATTTGTTAAATCTTTAGCAGTGGGACGCTTATCTGGATCAGGGTCCCAACATTTTTTCATCAATTCAGCAAAACATAGTGGAGTTCCTTCAATTACTGGTGGTCTTAACCCGTTACAAATTTTCATGGCTAAATCGAAATTGTACGTCATTCCATAAAAGGGCGGTTGAGAGGAGGTAAATTCCCACATAATTATGGCAAAACTGTAAATGTCCGTGGCTTTTGTATAGGGTTTACCACAAAAAATTTCTGGCGCAACATATGGTAATACACCTTTTATATTTCCATTTGTAGCTTGACCATCATCGCAAGCTAATCCAAGATCAGCAATAAAGCTACGTTTATTCTCACCAAGAAGGACATTTCCAGCATGTAAGTCACGATGCACAAGATTTGAACGGTGAATACTGCGGAGGTCAATTGAGAGACTCCAAAGTCTATCTAAACGGTCTTTCCAGGGATTTGTAACAAAATCAGATAGATACTTTCGTAAATTTCCATGTTCGACATAACGCATGACAATTAGATAACTTTGTGTTTCGGGGTGTCGTGTAATGCCATAGCAATCTAAGGATCCCAAATTAACCTCTCGACATTGAGTCATTGCCTTGGCCTAATGTAATATATAATTAGTATATTTGATAACCATATTTTTAATAAATATATTTAATAAATAAAAGAACATCAATAAATTATCATTTAATATGTTTTCGTTTAATAAGTTACCTCTCGAAGAAATTCATTGATACCTCCATCTTCCTTTTCTATTTCTTTCAAAGCAACAAACATGGGATCCCCTCGTTCCCATTTATTTGCATTGGAATCCCATTTTCGAATACGACCATCTTTCCAGTAAGCCATAAAAACAGTACCATAACCACCTTTACCAATCTGTTTAAAATTCGTGAAATGAGTTTCTGGAATCCATTCCAAAATTTGTTCAGGAAATTCGGCAGTTAATTGTGTTTCAAAGATATAGTTATCGATTTCCGAGTTTCCACTTGTCCAATTAGAACGTTCTAATTTAAAATGACCAGAATTACAACCACGACACCAACGAGGTGACATCCATTCATTATGGCAAGAGGAGCACTTGTCTACTACTTTTTCAATTACAGCATAATAATTAGTTATAGGGTCACGAGTTATTCCGTAAACAAGTCGCTCGGACGGATTATTTTTTGAAAATTCGAGCTCCTAAATATAGGGATAAATAATGAGCGATACCATTCATGGATAATAATGATGACAATAATAATACAATAATATCATTTTTTACCGATTTAAGAAACTTTGTCGCTAAATGTTTCTCACCACAATAATTGGTCACCAACTTAACCCACTGACCACCGTATTGAATTTTTTTATTTGATTTTAAGTCCCAACCTAAAAGATGACCTTCTTTCCAGTAAGCCATATTATTTTTCGAGTATTCAACTTTTTCAAGTTGAGTAAACTCTGAAGGGTCCACCCACACGAAAACACTCTCACACCGCTCAGCGGTTATTTGAGTATTACGTAGAAACTCGTCGACTTCGGCAATACCACTTGTCCAGGTTGGAAACTCCTTTTCAAACAGTTCGGCGTTGCACGGAGTGCACCAGGAAGTTATGGTATTCACTTTTCCACCACACTTCTCGCACGTAGTGGACCCATTCTGAGTTGACATGGCTATGCTTACTATTCTCTATAGGTGATTTCCATGATTTTCTTATGTATTGTGTTGTCCAGATTTGTGAAACCATTACAAACGGTGTATTATAATTTTTTTTTTTATACACTACATATTATCCAAAGGTACTGAAACTGTACGTGGATACGTACGTACGTGTCTTTGTCTGCTTAAAGACTGTTCACAAAACTTTTAAGGTTCTTCAAAGATGACCAAAAATATCGTTGTACTTGGCGCGGGTATGCAAAAATTACTTTGAGATGTCACATTTTTGTAAAGTTTTTTTCGAACATCTTTGCTTTTTACAGGTATTTCGGGTCTATCTACCGCCACCTTTTTATTAAAACAAGAAAAAGATATCAAAATTCGCATAATTTCACGTATTTTTCCGAATGACCCAGAAGCTTCATCTAACGAATATACGAGCACTGTGTATATAGAGTTTCTTAAATATGACTGTTTTTTTTGTAATTCTAAACGTTTAACAAATATTTATCTTGTAGTGCCGGTGCACATTGGAGAAGCCATGCTGAAAATGATGATGAAAGACAGCAAGGTATGTTAAGTCGTTTTCTTTCGACAAACGTTATTTTGTGATATTTGAAACATGCATAATGGTGATAACCATTTTTTCTTCGTTATTATCGTTCGTCAATGAAGATTTTTTAACGTAAAATATTTATGTGTCATTTTGTAGGATTTGATAAATCAACTTATGAATATTTCTGGGAACTTGCTAAACAAGATAAGCCAGATGTAACTGGAGTTATGGTTATCGATGAATTCGAATATTGGGAAAAACTTCCGAACAATTTCGTCGAGCCGTGGTACAGCAAAACATGTCACGGGGTAATAATGCATATAATTTGATACTTATTTAATCTTTAGATTAAAAATATTAAAATCCTTTTATGTAATAGTTCCGATTTTTATTAAACAAAGATGAATTGCCAGATGGTGTTGGGTTTGGAATTACGTACAAATCAAGTAATTACAAATTTCTTTATTTGTTGTGTACTTTATTAAATATCGAGTAACTAATTACGTAATCATTTATATAGTTTCCATTAATCCACCGGCATATCTTAAATATCTTTTCAGTGCATTCACTTTTTTAGGTGGCACCACGGAACGTGTCAAGGCCAAGATAACTGATATAAATGAATGTGTTAAAAAAGACACTGATATTGTGATCAATTGTTCAGGCCTTGATTCAAAGAAATTAGGAGGTGTTAAAGACGAAAATCTTTATCCAGTAAGGGGCCAATCAGTGACAGTGCAATCATGTTTGAAATGGGCATGTTTTCGACGAGGTTATAATGGAGACCCAGGTTCGTGTGAACCTTTTAATTACAGATCATTTTTTATTCCTAAATATTAAGCAACCTTTTTTTTCCTAAAAATGGAATAGAAATAGTCACCTACATAATACCGCGCGAAAATGGTACTGTGATTCTTGGCGGAACTCTCGTAAGAATTTGCTATATTTCTTTTTAAATGTGATTACATAACAATTATTAAGCGAGATGCTATCAATCAAAATGTGCGATTGTGAGACTAATTATATTTCAATTTTTTTTTTATTGCAAGATTATTTTAAAATTATATTATAATTTTTTTTTGTTTTTTGCATCTTCTCATTAATATACTGATGGACTTTCTCAAACAATTATCCCTTCAACGTTCTATTAGTGTAGTTTCAAGCTAGCTATAATATAGTTCAATAATCCGATCACAGAACAACTATGATAATTTTTTTTTAATTTATCAAGATAATTGCTAAATTAAGCATATTAATGAATTGATAGCGATGGAATTATATTCTCACTACAGCACATTTTAATTGACAACGCATCAAATTACATTTCGATATTTTATTTACATTTATTTTCGATTATTACTATAGGAAAAAGATAATGAGTAAGATAATCATTGTGCAACGTTTCTTTATGCAACTTTAATTTTATCGTCATACAATTCTAATTATATTGTCTTTTGTAAATTCGATCAAACATCAGCTCTACAGATATTGATGATAATGTAGCAGAACAAATTATTCAACGATGTCTTGCCACTCGTCGAGATCTATTGCCAGAAGGCAAAACTGAACTAACAATTATAGGGCATCGAGCTGGTCTGCGACCTTGTCGTAAGGGTGGCGTAAGAATCGAGGCTGAGTGGAGAGGTATATTATATAGTTTTCTAAGACTAACTAGAATCTTAGCATTTTATTCTCGTATTTTTCTAATTACTTTCATGTTTTTTATTATTTAGATGTTAAACAATTTGGTAAAAAAGTTCTAATTTGTCATAATTACGGTCATGGAGGTTCTGGTAAGTAAACAGAATTTATCCGACATGTTGTAACGTTACACTAAATGTTATTTGACCACTCCTAATATGAGCTTGCAAAATTTTATTCACCTCTTATAAAATGAGTGCAAATTTGCACTTTGGTCTTAGAAGTGGTCGAATAAGTTGCATGAAAATCATTTAGTGTTACGTCAAACATATCGCATAATACAGTTATCTGTCAAGTCCGTAATAAACAATTTATTCTCATGAATAATCAGTTATACCTGACAGATAGCTATTGCTAATTGTTTACTCATTAATTCATTCATTCGTTTCATTGAATTAACATGCATATATATATATTCTTAAAGGGTATGAGTCAAGTTATGGCACCGCTCAGGAAGCGATAAAAGTCATTAAAGAAAAACTCAAAATTGAATCCTCGATTTGAAATTTGAATTAAAAAAAAAATTGTTAAAAAATTTAATTTATTTATTTATTTGGTTTTATTTTTAAATGTATCCAGTTATTTATTTATTTATTTATTTATTTATTTTTAAAATTTATTTATTTTTAAGTGCAACCAGTTATTTTTTTCTTTTTTGAAACAAATGTATTAAAATTATATATATCCTGATGTACTATGTCATAACATTTTAAGTGTATTTGTATATTTAAATGTGAATATCTTAATAAAGCCGTTAATATATAACTAGTATTCACAATATGACGATAAGTATAGTACATGCAAACATTAAATAATAAAGTAGAAAGGAAAGAATAAATTATAGCTAAGTATAAACGATTTAAAACATCTTTTTTACATATCTTCATGATTGAGAAATTTAATTCTACAAACACAATATTGAATTATAAAGTTTCCACAAATAAAACAACTCGGTATAGTCTAAAATTTCTTATGTGATGCTCATTGTTGATACAGTATCTGTCAAAAATTGTCAACTTTAAAAAATTTTTTTGATCTACAATATTTCGAAATCTTGTAGATGCATATCTTTGAATTTTAAATATTATAAAACTTATAACTTCTATTTGAGTAGTTTATATAAAATTATGTGAAAAATTTTTAAATCAAATGAGTTTTTTATAGTATAATATTATTTTTTACATTTATAAGTAAAAAATTAAACATTATATAGCAAACACTTTTTTAAGAAAGTTATTATTTTGTCTTGTGATATAATTTAATACGCGTTAAGACATTATTTAGTAATAAGAATAAAAAAAATAAAGCTGCTACTGTAAAAATAGAACGAAATACAGGTATAGATACAATTAAAAAATTTTTTATAATAATTTCCTATAAAAAATTATTTTAATTATATCTACGCTTGTTTCATTTGGGTGTGCAACGGTCTATAGGTAGGGTCACTAAGATCATCACTAATTGCGGATTTTTTATCGGGATCGATGCACACATATCAATCTGGGTAATTATTTTTGAATTCAGACCAAAATGTTATTACGTCATATATAAAATTGGTCCGGATTCAAAAATACTTACCCATTTTATTAAAATAAAAAGGACAAGACTATACAGTGCACCATGCACTTTGTGCACCTTGCTATAAAATTTCTATAAAATTGCTAATTTCTCGAAATTTTGACTAGGTAACCCTGTTGTGTAACATAAGCAAAAATGTTCCTCTCGAAATTTTACTTTACCCCAACCCTAAACCTAACTTTAATTCTAACCTTAACATCTATTGCCGGCTCAATTTTGCTATAGGGTGCACAAAGTACATAGTGCACTGTTTAGATTTTTTCAATAAAAATTAGATTTATTAAAACAAAAATTAGATTTATTGAAATAAATGGTTAACTAAATAGAATACTATTTTTTTTTAAATTGAACCTCAAGACTAGTTCTACACTGAAATAGAGTTATTTTTTTAATATTTTTATAAAAATATTTAAAATGCTAATGATTAGTGTTCTTGGTTTTGATTATTAATATTTTTTTTATTTTTTAAAAATAAAAATTAAAAAATAGCTCTATTTCAGTGTAAAGCTAGTTTAGAGCTTCAAATTAAAAAAAATAACTTGTTATTTAATTAATTATTTATTTCAATAAATGTAATTTTATTTTGGTAAAATTTATAGAAATAATTATATTAATTTTTTTTACTTTTTTAAAAATAAATATTAAAAAAATAGGGTTATTTTAGTGTAAAGCTAGTTTAGAGCTTTAATTTAAAAAATAGTATACTGTTTAATTAATTATTTATTTCAATAAATGTAATTTTATTTTAGTAAAATTTATAGCAACAATTATATTTATATTTTCTTACTTTTTTAAACATAAAATTAAAAATAGCTCTATTTCAGTATAAAGCTAGTTTAGAGCTTCAATTTTTAAAAAAATAATATACTATTTAATTAATTGTTTATTTCAATAAATATAATTTTATTTTAGTAAAATTTATAGCAATAATTGAGTATTTTTATTTGTATACTAGTGTGTATACACATTGTTATACCAAATCATTAAAAAAGCCAATTAAAATTTAAGATCAAATATAATATATAAATTATTTTTTCATGTAACAAAAACAAACATTTTTAGTAAAAAAATCAAAAATCTAAATATCTCAAAATTTCACATATAAAACCACTTTTGGTGTTCTAATTAAAATAATTCCTTGCTAAATTTGCATATAACAATATCTTTGCTAAAATCCCAAGTCTTGCCCTAACTCTAAAATTAAAGAAATTTAATTTTTTTTAATAAAAATTTGTTTGTTTATTTTATTACACATGTACAAACACATGTGTAGGTTTAGAAATTTTCACAATAATTATATCTATATTTTTTACTTTTTTAAAAATAAAAATTAAAAAAATAGCTCTATTTCAGTGTAAAGCTAATTTAGAGCTTTAATTTAAAAAAAATAGTATTGTTATTTAATTATTTATTTCAATAAATATAATTTTATTTAGTTAATTATATAGAGATAATTATATTTATATAGGATTTAATTTATAATACATATTAATTATATTAAATTATATAAGCTTAATAAATTAGTTTTTTTTTTTTTTTTTTTTTTTTTTTTTTTTTTTTTAAAGAGAGGTCTATCCTCTATCTCTTTTATTTAATAGTTAAATAT